TTCGTCCATCTGGGACAACCAAAGCAAGGGTGTTGAACCGACTACTGGTCCCACTAAAAGAGTCATTAAAACCCATGGACACGTAAGTCCAACCCAAGTATGGCATCTTTCCATCACCTCCATGAAACACAACAAGATCATTGAGAGGATGCAGTTCACGATTCAGACAGTCAAAGAAATTTTTGGAAATCAGAGTGACTTGAGAGCCACTGTCCAGCAGACAGTGTGTGTTGAGTCCATCAACCCAACACCGAGGCATGATTGTATCACCAATTAGTCCCTGAGGAACATCTGTCCCTGTTTCGTACTGAACTGTGGGGTTTACTGGCATTTGGACATCCGGCTCTCAACCTACAGATGTCCCATCCCATTTCCCAACGATCCTCCGAGGATGAACTTGATCAACTTCCTGTTGACTGCTTCAATGTCAGCAGGATCCGGGCATCTTCGACGGATGTGACCCTCCTGGCCACATGAGAAACAAATATCTACTTGAGTGTCTCTCATGGTTTTGGTCAGGGTTTTGGAGAGGTTGCCGTCTCCTTGCCTGGCCTCGAGGGAGACCATGAGTTTGCGTCAGTGGAGCCGATTGCTGCGTGGGCATGGCATTCTGGTGGAAGAATTGTGCCTGAGGATGGCAACATCAGAGAAATGTTTTTGAGGGTTGGCTAGGTGAGAGAGGTGTGCTTGAGAGTGGGCAGGGTGAGTGAAAGGTGCTTGAGAATTGGCAGAATGGTGAAGGTGACGAGCCTTCTCTGGTCCTCTAGTTGGGCGGCCACGACTCTCAGACTTCAACCTGGTCTCATCTTCCTGCTTCTTGACCATGGACAACAGGCTCAACAATGATGGAGGTTGATTGACTTTGTCCCTCAGCTGAAGGCTCACAAGTAGCATCTCATTGAACAGAATACCACATATGAACTGGGCAAGTCGTACTTTGTCCAACTGTCCGTGGGGGACAACACCTCTCCTCAGTGCTCGCCTCAGCGCCATCTGTAGTCTTGTTAGGAATTTTGATGGAGGTTCTCCCTCAGCCTGCTTCAGACTGTGGAACTTGACAAACAGTTCATCATCAGTTTCCGTATCACTGAAGGTGATGTTGAGGGCCTTCAGGTAATCGTGGAATGTAGCCGCAAGGTTATCTCGACGGAGGTCATTGATGATATTGAGTATAGGGAGCCTCAAGGCCTCATGAATACGCTTCCTCTTCTCGGCATCATCAAGGTCCCGCCACTCATCCATCTGGCCTTCAATGTGATCTATCCGGTTCAGATAGTCGTCTTCATCTCGAGAGGGTGGGGTTGAACCTGAAAAGCACCTGAGTTTGCAGTGGTAAGCTGCTAGGGTGCAGCGAGCAAGAGATCTGGTGAAGTCAGAAGGATGGGGTTGTTGAGATGAGAGATCAGATGTAGATGGATCAGAAAGGGAAATACAAAGTAAAAATACAAAGTAAATGCAGAGAACACTAATTGAGATGGCCACAAATTAAAATATGAGGTTTACAGAAACTGCAGGATCCTGTTAAGTTAAAATACACTTTGAGCTCAAGAAAAAAATCTTTTGGCGCAGATGTTCTAGATGTACAGATGAGTTGCGATGAGTCGTTCAAAGGTGGGATGACAGGAGTCCGTTGTGTTGTGTAGGCAGTCGGCAAAAGTAAAGGGCAAAGTTCAGCGGAAGAAATGTAATGCAAAAGAATACTTGCAGATCTTGCAAGGTTGATGCTGGGGATTAGTGCCGCAGATGCCTTGCTGTACTTGTGCTGTGTCTGCAAGTCAAAATATATGTAGCTTGGTGGCTGAGAGGTCTGGGGACAGCTCTTCAGGTGGACTACAGAGATTCCCGTCCGGCACCCTCTTTCAGAACATGCAGTTCAGTAACTAAGATAGAGAGCCAACACTCGTGAACATACATGTAAGGGGAAGACTTGAATTTTGAAGTCCTCCAGTCCAAAGAAAAGTAGTGCAGAGCACAGACAGAGTTCAGCAGGCATGTAGTCAGCACAACGGCAAAGTTTGGAATGCCCAGCTTGCCAAAACTCTGGGGCAAACTGCTCCCCAGAACATGCCCTTGCCACATGACTAGCTCAGGCTCTCATTGGACAACTTAAAAAGTGCCACACACGACTCCAATACTGATTGGTCATCTAGTATCTAGGCAGATGAGCACTCAGCAGAAGTTTATGGCTTTCACAGCTTGGAGTAAAGTGTGAACAACAACTAGGTATTAAGTATCCCAACATCCTGCTGATCCCTAGTTAGGTTTAATGGTATGCTAGTCAGAAATTATTATTAGGCAGTGGATACAAAGAGCATCCTGTGATCTTCTAGGAGAGCAGGAACATTAGAGATAAACCGATGAAAGAGCAGACTATTTGACAAAAGGAATAGGCAATAGATCAGAGGTTAACCACTGGAACACTGCTTACCAGTAGAAAAGTCAAAGCTCAGGAGAGTACAATTTAAGTATGCAAAAGGAAAACATAGTCAAAGAAATAAAATTTCAAATTGTAACCCAAGACCTCTTTCGGGACGGGGTTACATCTATTTATGTATATGTGGAAAATGTCATTGTTCTGTAGTGACAGTATGGAAGCAACTATTATTTTCTTTAATAAACTCTGGTTACAAAAATTTAAGTTTTCATAAGACAAGATGATAATCTACAACTAACAATTAAAAAAAAGAAAGAAATTAAACAATATCAATCACTTGCTGGTGTCTCCACAGAGAGGTCCTGTAACTTTCAATACAGAATAAGGGACGCAACTAATGCCCAAGACGCAGGCTCATTCTCCTGAGCCAGTGCCATGCAGCACGTGCTCCGTGAATTGCCATTTGCAGGACTTGACTTTTCCTTAATTTAAACAGTTAAACCAGTTTTGAGAACATCTTATGGTTGAGTCACATATTTACAGGTGAATCAAATCATTTTAGACCTTTCAAAGCAATTTTATCCATGCTATAATGACAAAACACACGAGTGCTACTTCATGAAAATGAAAATCAGTTGATTACGTATCGGTGTACGGTGTGCGCACACACTTGAGTACTACTTCGTGAAACAGAAACTGCTGTAAACAAGGTTTTCACGAAGTAAGACGCAAGTGCAGTTGAGTGCTACTTCGTGGTGTTGGTGACACCATATGTAATCATGTACTGTTGATTGTTTATTGATGTCGTTTCATTAATGATAATGCAGAACAGGTGGTAAGTTTGTTTTCATATGACCTCAGGATCCATTCCCTATAAATTTAGTAGGGAAGCAGAGTTATGTTCATTGCTGCCATCTCGTGATAAATTTACATTTATGATGGTCAAGGTATCCATGACAAATGTTGCAGTGCCAAACTTGATTTTTATATGACCTTTGCACATATAGCCTTTTATATAACCTTTAATCTTTAAACAGAGCATTAGATGACTCCGTCTCCTCCAAATGCGCCTTTCATTATTTATCTACAACAAAATATTGGCTCTGTTTGGGGCCAGTCAGCCCTTTGGTCCCAATGGATCCACCTTTGGTCAATGACAAGCAAGTCTTGGAAACGAGGTCTGGGCTGGTATGGGAGTGTGGTTTGAGTTGAATGGTATATGCATGCTCATTTTTGCTGTGAAAAAGATTTAAAGTTATTAGTATAAACATTAACGAAGGATTGTATGAAAGTACCATTCTCCAACCGTTTGAAAAGAGTACACATGGTAAACTTCCTGTCAAGTTGGTACGCGATAGAATAAAAGAAGTCATTTTCAACCTTAAGTAAATCAACAAGTTGCATGGTAGTGCCTGAAATGTTGCAAACTTTTCGCAACGAAAAGTAAGCCTAATTGTGTTACACAGGCGTCACTAGAGCAGGGGGGTGTGCCGTGGGGTGTCACAGCCTGTTGGTTATTTTTGTCGGCAAAAACATGGTCTGTCAGCAAATTTAAAAAATGAAGAATGAAAATGAAAGGAAGGGGATGCAGTACACTCGTTTTGCTTGACGGTCCGACGGCAAATTTCACATGGCACCCCCCATGGTCAAGCAACACCTGCGATTGTTTCCATTGATGTTAGCCATTAGAAATCGGTAAGTTTATGTACCCTTTGCGTTTTAGAAAGAGTCACATGAAGCTGCAGAAACAAATTAGTGTAATACTTTGGCCCTTCCATCAGGCATCTAAATCAGATTTTCAAAGCATCCATTACTTTCAAATTTCACACTTTAATCAATCGCCAGTATAACTCAACACTTGAGTATCCAGCTCTTAATTTCTTGGTCTACTCATGGCATTTCGGTTTGCATGGCATTTCCGTTGTTCGTGCATCCATTTCAATGATTCAAAAATTATAAGAGGTGGTTTTTAATTTACAATTGGCAACAAAAAAAGCACATGCAATATTTTATTTATTGGAATTTAGTGTGTATTGAAAGGCACTCAGACAAAGTTTACGCGCAAGTGAAAGGTACTAAGTCAGTCTAGAAGCAATGCCTGCCGATGGTGGCCACTGGCAGCTACTCTCCCTTCCCCCTTTGCAAAAATTAAGTGCTTAAATGCAACATATTCTGCGGTCACTTCTCACCAGAGAGAAAGGACACAGACAGTATGACCTGGCCTTAGCAGTTATTACTCTCAACGCACAGTGACGACTGTCATAAACTGTTCTCTGCATAACGTGGGAGGTGTGGCTACAGAAAGCCATCACACAAGTCCATTTGACAGTTGGCCCTCCCTCTAATGTGTACCAGCCGTGATCCACTGGGACGTTAGAAACCGTAAAGCACTGTGTTTAAAGAAAAAGTTACAGACATGGATCCCCACCACTTTTCTCGAGAGTGTGCTGGTAATGTCATTTCTTTGAAAGAAATAAGGATGTTCACTTGCTTTATTGTTTAAAACCATTGCCTTTCCTTCATCTCACACAAACTTATTTTCAAATATTTGGAGTTCTTGAACTTGTTGCTTGATATCACTGCACTTCATTTGGTGGGATATTGTTGAAGAGCTGGTAAATCTTACCATCTTTGGTGACAACTTCCTCAATGTGTACGCCGTCCACAGTTCCAGCCACTGAGACATCTGCTCGGGCATCAACATCCCCTAAGAAGGTCTTCACTCCTAAGACGTGAAATTGAAAGAGAAATCTGGTGTCAGTGCACGGATGAGTTGTGCATTTAAGACAACAACAATAGGCCTGCGAGGTTTTGATGAATTTTTGGGATGGGCCCATTTTGCATAAACGTCTCTCAAGGTAACGTTAACATTTGTGATGTCTCAGTTATGAAATGTGCCAGTGAATATAATACCTCATATGGGGCCAGTCAAAATAACACCATCCAAAAGTAGGTGAAGGTAGAGCCGAACGACTTGTCAACAAGTTAAGTTCATTAGGCTGCCTGTGAGGTGGCCTGTTACCTGTGATTGTGGCATTGCCGGTCAGGTTCACAGCGTCGGCTACAAAGCTGTCAAAGTCTCTCCCAAATACAGTGTCTGCCTCCATGTTGCCTACCACACTCAGCACGGGAGAGACCTCTACGTCATTGATGAATGTCTTGTTGCCCACAACAACCTGAGGGTGTGACAGATGAGGTGAATTTGAACGAAGCACTGATATCCAATCAATTTGAATTAACACACTGGCCGATGCCAGAAAAAAAATGAAAAAGTAACAGGACTTATGGCAAAACCAAAAGACATTTAGAGTGTGCACAGCAACAAATGCTTTAAAACATGGCATCTGTAATCGTTTTAAACTGTTTCTAACATGTGCTTTGCTACATTCAAAAATGGCATTTACAGCTCCATGCCAAGACGAGCACGCTTAAAAAAGGAGCCAGGATGTTGAAAGAATTGCTCACATCATCTGTATGCAGCAACACCACATCTCGGTACCAGGCTGAAAGGTTCCGCCCAAAGATTAATCCTGTCGTATTTAACGGGCCCTCAAAGGTCACATCCTTAGTAAATGTCACGTTGCCCGTCAGGTTAAAGGGTTCGTATAGCATGATGGCCTGGAAGTCCAGCTCTGAGAGGTCGTAGCCATCTACCAGTCCAGTGACGGAGACGTCGGTCTTGGATGTCAGATCTGAAACAAGCAGATACTACGTCTCACAAAAATGTTTGCTTGCGGTACGGCTGCTCATCTGACTCAAACTGGTCATTTGACCGTGGCAAGCTCTTTCAAGTGCAGTGATTTGTCTGCACAAATGAGCAGGTGCTCGTGGGTTCAAGTTTCATCCAAGTAAAGCTTATGCCCTTTTGTCCATTAATTCAAGGATGACAATGTGTCAAGTGTATACAGAATTACATCAGAGAAAGGCAAAAGAACAAGAACACTCCCAAAAGCCAAAACTACATCCAATAGCAAAGCAAAAACTTTGAAGTGGTTAACACTTGGGGTGATGAAAATGTTCCTATATTTTTAATATCACAGAAAGGCTTAGACTGAGTTCCAGACTGATATATGAACTGGCTCTAATACAGAAAAGCTAAATTCAAAACAACCACTCACTTAATAATATCACAGCTTATGACCAAAGTAACAGCCAAAGACAATGCTTACATTTCACTCAAGTACATCATGCCAAAACCAACCAGTTTTTGCAAAGTTCCCTTTTTAAAGGGACCGTGAAACAGAATTATTCTACAAATTTTACTAAAATCCTTGAAATTGCACCCTTGGGTTCCAATAAACTTGATTTTGAATTATTGTTCTACTATCTCGCCCCATATTTTGGAGCTTTTCTGGTTTTAATGCTAATGTACATTTGTATATTCATGAGCAAGATGATGATGTCATCCAAGGCACTCAACCTAACCTCAATGTTGCACTGATTTGTGCACAAAAAATATCCAGATTTTTTCAACACTGCCATCGTAGATTTTATTTTTTTTGGCAATTTATTGTTGTGTAAGTATATGGCAATCAGTTGGGAAGCAACCTTTTTTCAGAAATGATTTCAAACAGCCAATTTAGAGCTCACAATTTGAACATGGAAGTATGCAAACTAAGTGGTGTCTTCCTGGATTTACATCAAGGCAAAAGCGCCCTCACTTGTCTGGAAATGCTAGGTAAATTTTGAATATTTAAAAAGTGCATTTTTTAGTTCCCCTAACTCAGTATAAGAGTCCATATAGTCCTCACACAAAGAAGAAGAGTACAGACATATACAAAAAGTGATTCTAAGAAAAATTCATTGCATGGTTCCTTCAACTCTCTAACAATATCAACAATTACACCCCTACACAAAGTCCATTTACCAGTGCAAGGTAGAAGGAGGATGCCGTTTTTGAAAATAAACCAAATGGAAACATGTTTAATGTCTTCTCTCTTTCCAATTCTAGTGAATGAAATTCACAAATATATTAGGCTGATAAGTGAATTTCAGCAAACCAGATGTTTATCATCAACATACTTGTAGCAAACACCAGCGGTGCATCCACAGTCTGGTCCTCTGAGGTCTTCATAATGGAGTTGTTGAGATAGACCAAGTCAATGCCATTAATAAGTCCAGTTATCAGCATGTCGGGATCAGTGGTAACAATGTAGCTGATGATGTAGTTACCTGCCGCACAGAAACGGTTTACAAAAATTATGAGGGCTGTGGAGAGCCGGGAGGGGAGGGGCAATTTATTGTAGTGGGCGGGACATCTTGACGGTAATTAGCAGCACTTCCTCAGCAATGGTCCAAGGTTGCTTGCACAGTAACTCACAGCAACAGGAAACACAGGACAGTCAATTCTTCATACTAATTGAGGGTAAAGCTTGACAGGTCACTTTGCATCAAGTTGTCTGCGCACTGCCAAGAGTTGCATTGTAATGCAATGCATCGGAATCCAAAACCAGAGCGACAAAATACAAAATCCGTATTTTACTATACATGTACGCCAATAATGCAGTGCAACAAAAAGTGTTGATCTCAGAGTGGCATCTTGGCTCTCACAGTAAACAGATTAAAAACATCACAAGTGTCCGGGTCTTGGTTCATGCATTAATATTCATTCAAACTGTGAATAACCAATGGAATAAGAGCATCAAAATGTACACAGACTTCGGAAATTTCCTCATCGACATAAAACGCCCTGTGGGTAAATCAATTGTGTTCTCATATGACAGCCTCACCAAGTTTTCCTTGCAAACACACTGACTTGACCAAGGTATTGTGTAAAACGTACTTAATACGACCTTTAACCGTTACTTATGACATCATTTCAAGGGTTTAAGGTACAATATCCAGTAGTGTTCATGAGAGCAAATCCAGGTAAAGGGTGAAGATACCTGATATATTTTGTGCCGTGCTGTTTGTCATGATGTCTTCACTGAGATCAATACCATCCACAGTCCCAGTCACGACGACATCGTCTCTGGCATGAAAGCCATCCAGAAAGGTCTGCAAAACAAGAATCTGGAGGTCTTAGAAATGGCCTTATGATTGCGTTAAAACGTCTGAGTGGTATCTGTTGTTGCGGGCAGACTGACCACAAATGCATTATACATTAGCAAAAGAACGATAGGATCAAAGTGACCAACTGACCCAAGCAAGCTTGGTGGGATCAAGTGGTCACTAATTCTCCACTTGTAAACAAGAGGTTGTGGGTTCAAGCCCCATTAGACAAAGAAAGAGAATTTTTCTCACAGGCTCCAAGCCGACACTAAGTACAAACTGCAAACAAAAAAAACCTTGATACAAAAAAACCCTGGTATTAACATCTATATATATGTGTGACGTTAGTCACTAGATAAAGAGACTTATCCAGCACCTGAAAATATGGCCGAAACATTTGACATTGCTTTCCTCGGCAAAGCTCATTTATCAACACACTAATGCCAGCTTGAACCAAAACTAACACACATAAGAAAAAAAGTGAGTGCATCTCAGAACGCATGAGAAGCATGTGTGGGTGTGGCATTAAGCAGTAATGGCACCCAGTTGGTTGACAGTAACTTTTAAGAATCCAACACCATGAAGTATTTCCTTTCTTATTTTTGACTCCAAAGATAACTGAATGTACATGAATCACAACCTGGCAGCATACACAATCGTAAATGGAACCTTTCCGAAAAGTTCTAGTGGATCTTGATGCTTTCTATCTCCTACCTATTTTCTACGTAAACAAAGAGAAGAAAATGTTTCTTGCATCCAAAATTATTTGTGTTGGACAAAGCAATTGATTCATTTTCAGGGATTGTACCGACCTTATTGGCCAGAATTTTCTGCAGGTTGTCCGGGTGGATGATGTCAGACATGAAGAAGTCCAAATTGATACCGTCCACCAATCCCGTCACCTCCAGATGGCTTGACAAAATAGTCATGTTATCAAAGGTCTGTGAGGCACATGCAAAATGATCAGTAAGGGACATCTGAAAAGCCTGAATGCTATCACATTGGACTGGCATTCTCGTTTAAGGGACATACGGTAAGTTCATTGGAGAGTCATCATGAATTAGTGAAAACCTAGCAGAGGCATTGACCACAATGCTACACTGATTCAACCAATCACGTCGAAGGGCCCACTGTCTTCATCCAATGGCAAACGGGAATGAGGAGTGGTGATCTTTTAAAAAAGATGAAACTGGAAAGGAAAACACTTAATTGCACAAATGACGCGAGTGCTTAATTGCCCCTACTTTAACATGATGGACAAAGAAATGGCTCAATAGTATGTCAACCTGACTATAATTCACTCGTGATTTGACCTGCCCAAAAATGAGTGATGCTGACATTCAGCAGAATACTTGCCTTCCTTCCAGTCACTGTCTGCAGAGGCCCATCAAGGAGCAGAGCTCTCGCTGCAAACTCTTTAAGCTGGATACCGTTAATGTGGTCATTCAGAGAAACATTGCCATGAACAATCATAGTGCCTAACAAATACAATATCAAGAACTATCAACAAATATCAAATGTTTCAGATAGCTGGTACATAAACCCTTATAATGTATATTATACATTATGGTAAATTACTATTTCATTGCAAGGACATCTAGTTCGTCGCAAGGGTATATAGTTCATCACATGGGTATATAGTTTGTCACATGGATATATAGTTTATCACATGGGTCTATAGTTCATCACATGGGTATATAGTTCATCACATGGGTATATAATTTATCACATGGATATATAGTTTATCACATGGGTCTATAGTTCATCACATGGGTATATAGTTCATCACATGGGTATATAGTTCATCACATGGGTATACAGTTCATCAGATGAGTATATAGTTCATAGCATGGGTACACAGTTCATCAGATGAGTATATAGTTCATAGCATGGGTACACAGTTCATTGCGTGGGTACAAAGTTCATCGCATGGGTGCATAGTTTGTCGCATGGGTACGTAGTTCATCGCATGGGTACATAGTTCATTGCAAAGGTATATCAAAAGGGTAGCCAATTTTCAAAAGTAATTAGTTCTCAGTTTGGTTTGTTCACAGGTAATGTTTCTGTATCAGGATTTTGATGATTACTCTGTCTTTCACCGTTTTTTCGCGTCCTATAACTCAGATGTTTTTCAAGCTATGAGTGTGTTGTATAATTGCCCTATCTCATACCAACAGTCAGCTTGCCAACCTAACAAATCGTCATGTCTGCCATTACCTCCACACGTACATAAAAGATTGAGAGGCTTCATTGAGAAAAGTGAATTTAGCTTTTAAATTTTTTTCACTACCAGGTATGGTCTTGGTTCCTGTGACAGTCTGCACAGTATTCTTGGTCATGATGTCTTCAAGGACAGCCGTGAGGTTGATGCCGTTGACGAGCCACTTGATCTCAACATCGCTGGCAGTCACGTTGGCTGCACTGAAACTATGATTGACAGAAATGTCCTGCCAAAAGAAGAAAAGCATTTCAATCCCACAGATGGTTGAAAAGTCTGGAGATAATGAACCAAAAGGTGAGTGGCATAATTTAAATTTCAAACTTGCTAAGGAGGTAAACTGCCAAACTATAGTTTTTCAGCTCACAGAGTTGGAAGCAGGCCGACTGGAATACTGTTAACAATGATGTGTCATTGCCATCATTGTCATCCCAACATCATAATTATCAATATGAATAGCAAAGTTATCCTTGTCCAGGTTAAATACATACCATCACAGTTGCTTTTATTGCTGATGACAATGACATTATAATCTTGACCGTCATTTTCAGTCACTACATTCAACGTCATTTCACAGTCAATGATACAGTCACGACAACCATTACCTTCAATGCTATAGGGAAAAACACTGCAGATCCAGCATTGACCAAGCTCTCTCAAGAACATGTCAACCACCAGACAATTTTGCCCATTAACATATGCATAATATGCCACTTAGGTAACAGTGGTTGACTAATGGTAGCTGGTTAAACTTCATGGTACAGCTTTAACTGGGGTATCATTTATTACCTCGGGTGTACAAAACAACATGGACCACACAAAAGCAGATTACAAGTGATTCTTTCCTCAGTTTTCTTACCTGATTGGACGTCAGGTCCACCCGGCTCAGCACAAAGTCTGTCCAGTTTCTCTGGTTAACAGAGATCACGGCATTCATGTCGTCAACGGACATGTTGTCAGCCTCTAGTCGCTGGAACGTCTTTGCACCTGAAAGTCACCCAAACACAAATATGACATGATTAGAGGAGTTGATTTCAGGAAAAGCTGGTTTTCCACAGGTACATGAGTAAAACCACAGGCCTAAACTCAACCTACATAATTACTGAAATAGGGAAATACAAAGAATATGGCTCTATTTTGGGAGATGTTGAAAATAGGAAACTGTACATCACAATGTGTTTTGATGAAAAAGTGGCTCTGTATGGCACGGATAATTCAAAGATATTTGTATGTCTCTGTCATTGTCTTGTATTTATATGGAGTGAAATGAACGACAATAAACCAAGTAACATGCCAGTTTTTAAGAAACCATGTTCTGAAGTTTAATTTCTTACATTTCAAATTCCTCAAGTAAAACTAAAGACATACTTAAGTAAAAATACACGGTAAGTGACCCCTTTTGTGTCCAATTTTCTTGTAGAATATTCCTACACATTGTACCCAAAATTATGGAAATCTGTGGACTACCCATACCTGTGACAATTTGGTTGCCATAAATTGTCAGAACATCAGTGGCTATTTTGACACCATCAACCATGCTGGTGACATTGACGACACCCTCAACTGTGACGTTCCCAAGAAAAGTCTAGAAAATATGACCATAAAGAAAAAATCAAAAGTAGTTTGAATGTGACATCAAATCAGTTTTTGAATTATATCAAAGAGGGGTCAGTGGGTTAGGGGTAAAAAGGTCAAAGGTGTGTGGGTGTGAAATGTGAGCAGGTGAGAGGTCGACGAACGATGGGGGGCGTAGCCGCAGCAATGGTCAAGGAGGTGAAGGGGGTGTTGTTGCCCCGAACTTAAACAAGCAAAAGAAAAGAATTCAGATAAACTTACCTCAAGAGGCATCAGGTCACCCTCGCCGCATTGTCATCTGTTGGCTTGTTTGTTTGAGGCAAAGTACGAGTGGGTGATGGCGTGGCGTCCTTGGCCAAAGAGTGTTGAATACAAAGGGTACACTCACGCAAATGGATCTCTTTTGTTTTAGAAAGCGTCGGTCATCAGTTCCCATGGGGAAGATGCTAAAATTAGTAAAATATCTATCTCTCAAACAAAAGAGTTTGACGTTCACCCCATGAAGGAACGCTTCGAATGCGTGGGTTCACTAAACTTCACGTGGAGTCCTTCCTTGCACAGCGTGATTGATTAAACCTATATTTATATGTATGGCGTGAGTATACGCTCTTTCGGTGTTTGCATTAAGTCACCAACACCCCTACGCGATATAAATACCACGCTGGGTGGACCCTTTAGATCATATCCCAATCTTCCACCGTGACAGCCACATCTAATGAGACTGAAAGTTTACCAAATAGTTGAGTATCATAACCAGCATGGCCGGACAAGCAAAGGCAACTACCAAGAACACCGATATGACTGGTGCACAGCCTTAAGTATCAGCGGTGTCTCAAGCAAGCAACGATGCGGAGAGCACCGGTGCGTTAACTGCTCAGGACCTGAGAGCCAGATGGCACAAGGTGTACAGCTTTGAGGAGCAGAGGTTTTACTACCATAACATCATAACGGGGCACCGTCAGCTGGAGCTCCCTTTCATCAACCCCCTGCCCACCCCAGAGCAGCTTGAGATCCATGCTCCCTCTGACCTCACCAGTGACGAGCTAGCCGCCACCCTGGATGAAGCTACCCAAGATTCGTTTCATCGCGGGTCGGGCGCTACTGCAACAGGGGCAGCGAGCACTACCAAGCCGGAGAACGCTGATTTGTGGACCCCCAACTCCAATGCCAGTGCACTGCAGCCCAATCCCGATCTTGCTGTGAAGAGGAAGGGAGCTGTGAAGAGGTTCTTCCCCCGGGACCAAGATGAAGAGGAGAACGAACGCGACACAGACAGGTTTCACCTGGAAGGTGAGTGTTACGTCTCTGGGGCAGTATTTACATCAGTGTGAGAGAGTACTTCTGGAACATGGACAAATCAAGGCTGATTGCTAGGAAGAAAGGCATAAACTTGACTGCTTCACAGTGGAGCGTGCTGATGTCACACGCCAAAGCTATTACCAAAGCTGTGTGCAGGAAGAGACTGGTCAAGAGAACAAATTTTAAAAAGTTTTGTGTTTAGTTTAATCGTTGGTTTTATTGTGTTATTTTTTGCATGTAGGCGTGCAGGCCGATTGCGAAGAGCGAGTTAAAACACTGTTAGAAAGATTCTTGTTAAATTATTTGTGAACAAAATTGAGGAGCTGCCTTCTAAAGATCGTGTACCGTGTGAGGGGTGTGAAGTTGACTCTCCGAGCCAGTGGGACCACGAATGCGTCTGGATCACCACAGAACATGTTCTGTTAGTGCTTCCACACGCAGTAATTGCACTTTTCGATGCTGCCTCTGAGAAACTAAGGAGAGAAAAATTTATGTGTCGTGATTTGAACACAAAGGTTCGGTTGTTTAAGGAAGATATCATGATGTTTTTGATGGCCGATCCGAAGAAAATTTTAAAATTGTACGCACAGAAGGATCAGCACTTGGACTTCACCATTGCCCTAGAGCAGTGCCTGTTTGACTTGTAAACTGTAAAAGTGCTGATTGGAACCTTTTTTTTGCAAATGTGTGAAAACCATCAATTTGAGTCAGCTAATGGATGTGCACGAAAATCTGTTAAAGTCTTTTGTTCTGAATTGAAGATTTCCAACTTATTCTGTAAGTGTGTATTAGTTTAGAATTTTTGTTAAGTTTAGAAAAGAAGTTGCCAAGAAGTTTAAAAACGGTGTGATATGGTTTCTGGCAGGAATAGTGCACGATTGGGGTTTATAAAAGTGGGGATTTGTAATAATCATTTTATATGAAGTTGACACACATGTAGTGTTGGTGGGTGCCTAAAATTTAAGCTTTGGACTTGTATTTTGTTTTTAAAAAATTGCCTAGTTGATATAAAGCTGAAATAGAATAGTTGTGAAGTTTGGTATCAGGTTTTAAGTTTGTACGATCAAAAAAAAATGGAGAAAGACAACTGAAGACAAGCAGAGACTTATAATAAACTGAGTGGACCATCACACTTTGTTTTCTGTAAAGTATTGAACGAATTGAACTTATATTTTAATGAATTTCAATCAGAATTAAACTAAAATTAAGAAATTGAAACAAAATGAACAAAAACTTGAAGTTTTTAAGGGTACTGGTTGACTACCTTGAAAAAATGAAAATGCAAAGTCCCTAATTGAAACAAAACGCTAAATGAAAGTATAAGCCAATAAAACAAAAGCAGAAAAACAAACCAAAAAAAATTCAAAGAAAGAAGCAAGTTAACAAGAGCAGTTTAAGTATGAGAAATGTGCCAGCTATATGCCAGGTTGCTAAAATGATTTTAAATGAATTGACTTCTTAATTACTTTAGGAAAAACAAAAGCAACTAAAGGTATCTATGGTAAACAAAACAACAAACTAATTGTTGATGGAAGCCTTTTAAATGACTGAC